AATTTTTATTATTTTAAAATCCCTAATTTTGGTTTAATTAATTATTTATTTGGATTTTTGCCACGAATAATATTTTCTAGCCTTTTCAGACCTAAGTACATGGTTTTATAGTTTCGTTATATTTTTAAAGTGTCTCATTTTAAAAATAAATAAAATAAAAATATAGATAAATAAACAAATATTTTCTTATAAGCTTATTTAGCGAAAACGTGTCTAAACACTTTAACCAATTGGGAGTACAATAAGCTCAAAAATTTGAGACCTATACAATGGTCCTAAAATAGACAATTTTAGGTTTAAACACACAAGTAATAGCTAGTGGTACGATCGTTATAAGAATTTCTCAAAGGTTTCAATTTTATTGCGCCTAAATTAGAAATACGTGTTTTCACGAGCGCTTAATTGAGGGACTTTGGAGCATTATTTTGGGACAATTAAAAATAAATAATATTTATATGAATGTAAGTGCCCTAAAGGTTTAGTGCACTAGTGCAACAAACGTAAGAGAAATCGAACACAAAACGCGCGCGTAGGGCACTAGTTGTAATTGATTTGACGTATTTAAAATATTAGACGTCAAGCGTCTTTTGTACGCAAAGGAAACCAGAACCGCATCTCATTTCTTCTAGCTGCAATGGACGGATAGCTTCAGCCGTAACAGCTTCACCATTCCTTCTACAAATTCACCAAATCACTACCAAAACCTCCATAGATTCAACCAAAACTTCACATACACTTAACTCTACACTTGGACAACACTTTAAGCTGAAAAAGGGAGGAGCTTCACGGTTTTCTTCAGGCTTCAAAGGGACCGAAATTTTCTGATTTGAACAACCATCAAAGTAGGTAATGATCAACTACCTTAAACTTGTCTTATGGAGGTTGATTTATGCATTTGAGCTGAAATCTTCACTTTAGTAGCTTGTATTGTTCAAAAAAAAGTGGGTTCTATGAATTCCCACTCTTAGGTTGTTGCTGATTTTGTGCTTGATGAAGTTTATGATATCGGATCAGTGTTTAAGTTAGTGATTTGTTGAAGGAAAACTGCTGGAAACTCACGTTGATTGCAATGGCCAAGTTTGACCATTTTGCCTCTGTTTGTTCGGCCACTTTACTGCAGATATTTGAGGATTTAATGGCTTGATTGTGTTATTTACATGTTGTAGAAGTAGTGTACAAAATTTCGTTGAAAAATATTGAGTTATGGTTGATCAAAAGAATTTACTTTCCAAAGCTAGTAATCTGGAAACGGTTGCCGTCGTAACCAGACCAGTGTTCGTGTTTCATCCATAACTCCGTACTCCGACGTCGAAATCGAGTGCCGTTAGCGGTATTTGAAACTAGACGTTTCCATGTTTCCAACGGTGTATAATGCACATACTGGTTCCATGTGTGTGAACCGCATCATTCATCTGAATTCAGTTGTCCTGTTTCTCCGTTCTGCCGAAATGATTTGATGATGCTGCAACTTTAGGCTTAATTTCGAACCAGTTGCATGCTGAAACTTGTAACGATTTCTTCTGTGAAATTTTAGCCCTGTGAATGTATTTTCTAACAATATCAACCATTCTCAATTCCGAGTTAAATTGAGGGAGTTATGATCAAAATACGGCGACTGCCTCGTTTTAGAAAATCTTAGATTTGGACAGATTGCCTTAAGGATTTTTCCAAATTTTGGTTGATTGATTAACCACCTTTCCGAGGGTATTTTTCCATGAAATTTGATAGAGAGATACCCTTCATATGGGAGTATTATACTGCAAAATTTGGTGTCAATCCAAGTCCGTTTCGACACTTAATAAAAGATCCAAAGTCAGAACCAAATCTGGAAATTTTGTAACAGTCTTGAATTTTTCTCAACTTTGAGCTACCATATCTTGGTGCTCAAAACTCCGATTCTTGAGCTGCTTGTTCTGTCCAAAACTTTGCTTGCACTTCTAATTGAGTTATAAATTTCAAGGGCTGGTTTGCAACGAGTGATTTTTGCCGAATTTCCAAAGTTAGCGAAAAACCAACCCCGGCTCAATCCTGGTAATCTAGAACAGCAACTTTAGGCTCATTTTTGAATACCTTTGACTTAGATTCATGGAACAGTGTTTTCTAAGGACTTTTAGTACTTTGAAAGACGATTCCAACGGTACCAAGTTTATCAAGTTTTGACTAGTAGAAAAGAAGTTATGATTTTTCAAAGATTTAACCAAAAATCGAAAATTCTGAAATTTCAAAGGAAATCCGCGCGGGAACTATTCTACCAGAATCCGGCCAGTTTCTGGCCGGATTATCGGCCGGATTGGTGGTGAAATTTGAAAAAAAGGGAGGTTAGCCACTGCCTCCAATCCGGCCAGAAATTCGGCCGGATATCCGGCCAGGTTCCTGCCGGATTGTGACGTGGCCAACCCTCTTTCGATTTTGATCATTCCTTTTGCAATCATTTCGCTCGTACTCGTTTCCAACCAATGATTTTAAGGATAATAATCCAATTTTCTTTTACTTGAGTCCTACACCTTTTGAGAATCCAACTTCAAAGGCAAATCAAACGAAGTTTCAAATATTTTCGAACCTTACTCGTGTTCAATCTTTCTCACCACTTGGGGACCTATAGTAATTATCTAATATTCGATGTTCAGGCACGCACGAGGACCTCCAAGAGGACCCTACCGTGGAAGTTTGAACTCTCCCTCCAACCTACTTGCTTGCATAACTTGGTGAGTGTCAAGTGTATGCCTACTTGAACTCTAAAGTCTTGATTCATGCTTGACTTACCTGATTACATGCTTAGTCTATTTGATTTTGAAAAATGGAATCGAGTGTGTACTTAATCGCACTCGTTCTCATTTGGCACAAATGACTCATGTCTAACATGCTCTGCTTGGTTTACATGACCTACAATACATGCTTAAACCTGTTGAATGCTTAAATATATACCATGGTATGCTATGATTGCATACGTCGATGGAGTGAATCTCCTCGACATTTACATGATACATGGGGGACGCCCAAACTCATAGGCCAACCTTGGAACTCGAACCGGCATGGGTTTGGTCGGGAACCTCGGTGAACCATGAGATTCATATGATAAGCTTGATCTATTGAGAGATCTCGCTTGACATACTCGTAAAGTATCGCCTTATAAATGTCGTGCGGGCCCGAAGTGGTGTATGGTGGTCGGATGAGAAGTCAGTGGTGAACTACGGATATGAAAATATCAACCCAGTTGACGGAGAGTCATCACGGGGAGATATACAAATGACATCGGCAAATGTGGAACTTAGCTCCTGAGAGCTTCCATATCCTTGAATTGTTTCTGGTTACATTTTGTCGGCATTATTAATTACTTGCAAGCTATTACCTGAATTGTATTTGGACTTGTTATCTGAACTATGTGTCTGCATGTGTGTTCTTGGCCTCACGAGCGTTTTGCTCACCCTGTAGATTTGTTTTCCTTAACAGGTGTGAACTCGGAGGTAAAATGGAGAAGCCCTCCTGATGTACTTTTGTTTTAGGGTTTGCTATTACTTTTGGTTATGCCTTTGATTTTGGGATTGTACTTTTGGTATGGAAATGTAACCTTTGGACGAAATGTATTTTGTATACTAACGTGTGGTTTGGAGAATGGATGACTATTATTAAGTTTGAACGCTTGCGCATTTATTGTATCTAAGTTATCGGTTTGTATTGTGTGGTCCGGCTATAAGTTGAATGGAATTGCTTGAGTCCTGGCGAGAGCTAGGCAGGCGTCCCGCGGATACCCTTTGGTTCGCCTTAGGGAGAAGTGGGGGCGTCACAAAGAAACCGTGAAACTCCCAAGATCCTTTAACTTTGGTAGTAGTTTATTTTGTATAATGACACTACATTCCTCGGTTAATGCAATAGTCTCGCAATCCTTTAATTTTCTCTTTTTGATCATTATTTCCTTGAGAAACTTTGCATAAGAGGGAATCTGCAAAATAGTATCAACAAATAGAATGTTAATATGTAATTACTTAAAAATGTTAACGAACTTCTCAAATTCTTTGTCAACTCATGATGGTTTCAATCTGTGTGAAAATGGAACCGGTGGAGGGATAAGTAAGTGCTACGAAATTGATGATTCATTCATTTCTACAGCTTCCTTCCCTTTTTCTACCTCCCTCTCCTCTCTATTTTTCTTTGCTTTTTCTTGTTCAAACACATTTTCATTTTCTATCTTCATTTTAGCTCTTTGAGGTTCACTTAATTACTTACTACTATGGAGAGTTATAACCTTCATATACTCTCTTGGATTTACCTCAGTTTGTTCGGTAGCTCCCCTTGATTCCTATTGTTTATCACATTGGCTATTTGACCAAATTGGATCTCTACATTTCTATACATATTGGTAATTTGGTCAATTCTCCGCTTGATTCTTTCAAACTTTTGCATATTGGCATTAGCTAGTTTTTCAATCTTGTCATTATACATTCGCTAACTTCTCGATTGCCAATTTTCATGACGGTTTACTCTCCATTGGTGGTTGTCTAAGTTGAAAATCAAGTGGATTAGGAGCCCTTGGTTGGTTCCCTTGTTCCTTCCAGCCAAAATTTGGATAATTTCACCATCTTAGATTGTAGGTATTGGAGTATGGGTTGTTTTAAGGTTGCTGGTTGTAGTTATTTAGGTATTGTACCTGTTCTACACTAGAACAATTAGAATCATTATATTCATCATCACATAAATTACATAAAACAATAACTATCTCTTGACTTGAACTAGCCCCAATTTGCCGATCAAACATTTTTACTACATTATCCATTTTGGCATTCAACATGTTTAAACTATCAAGTTCAAACACACATGCGTGTCTTCTCGTGTTACTACGCTCATTGATCCATTGATAATTATTTGCAGCCATCTTCTTGATCAAATGTTGAGCCTCCTCAGCCAACTTACCCAGCAATGCATCTTTAGCCGTTGTATCCCTATGAATCTTGGTCGTATATATGAATCTATTGTAAAACGTTTAAACCACGAGCCAATCAAACAAGCCATGATGTGGATATTTATATAAAAACTCCCAAAAATGTTCCTAAGTTTTATATAAAGACTCTTCGTCCTGTTGAAAAAATCTAGTTATACCCATACAGAGTTTAATAGTTTTGCCTGGTAAAAAAATTTATTTAGAAATGTCTTGGACAAATCGACCCAAGATCCAAGATATGAAAATATTAAGAGAGTGTGATTACAATCAAACTTTGGCCTTGTCCTTTAAAAAAAAGGAAACAATCTAAAGCTAATTGCATCATCACTAACTCCATTAAATTTAATTGTATCACATATTTTCAAAAAGGTAGAGAAATGGGAATTAGGATCTTCAGTAGCATTATCTCCATATTGAGATTGTTGCATCATTCAAATTAGTGCAAGTTTAAATTCAAAATTATTAGTATTTACCATAGATCTTGCAATGCTCATTTGTAGTTCATTCCCTTCGAGCAATGCAAAGTCCCTTAAAAATCGTCTATTCCTTTCGTCCGTCATTGTATCAATTGGAGGAAGTTCAATGAAAATTTCTTTTCCTTCTTGGTTTTTCATGATATCTTGCAGTGTTTGCCTTCTTCATCTCCTTAGAATTCTTTCAATTTCGGAAACCAATAAAACCGTTCCACGAAGAGTTCAGTGCATGCACAACTAGGATCACAAATAAGAGAAGTTAACTATAAATTAAACAAACTAGATAAAATAAAAATTACTCTATTCACTAACTAAAAGATATTCACAATATACCACAATGTCTACAGTAATAAAGATTGTTTTAGCCATAATATTGCCGTGGTTCTCCAATAACAGTGCCAAAAACTTGACGAGAATTATACTTGCACTCTAATTTTAAACCTTCTCTATTATTTATATCATATATTATAGTGGCCCAAAATGTGTTGACGAGAATTATACCACATACTATAGTAATTATTAGGGGTAAATGATGTAATAGAAAGTTGCATGTCATTTATTATGCAAACAAAATGCTAAATGAAACTAAAATTAATTATGCAACAACAGAGAAGGAATTTAGATCTTAGCTAGTGGGATCTAAAGTCATTGTTTACACCGATCATGTGACAATCAAATATCTTTTGAACAAGAAAGATGTAAAGTCTCGCCTAATTAGATGAATTTTATTATTGCAGTAATTTGATTTGGAGATCAAAGATAAGAAGGGATCTAAAAATCTTGTAGCGGATCATCTTTCCCAATTCGAGAGTATGCCACAAGAGTATCAAATTCCTTTTAAAGAAGAATTTTTGGATGAGTTTTTATTGGCGATTCAAAAATCACCTTGGTATGTCAACTTGGTTAATTACTTGATTAGAGAGGTGATACCAAGTAATTTGACTTTTCACCAAAGGAAGAAATTCATACATGATGCCAAATATTATTTTTGGGAGGAACAATTTGTCTATAAAATATTGTGCAGATGGTATAATTAAAAGATGTCTTCCGGAAGAAGAGCTACATAGTAATTTAATGCATTATCATAACTTTGAGACAGGAGAACATTTTAGCACAACTAAAATCGTAGTAAAGGTATGACAATCAAATTTTTATTGGCCTACCATGTACCAATATGCTAGAAATTTTGTCAAGTTGTGATCAATATCAAAGAATCGGCAATAATTTTAGGAATAATGAAATGTCTTTAACTACATACATGGAGGTTGAATTATTTGATATTTGGGGCATAAAGTTCATGGGACCATTTCCTAATTCTTTTAATAATTGTACATTCTTTTACAGTTGATTATGTTTCTAAATAAGTGGAGGCCATTGTTTCACCTACTAACGATGCTAAAATTGTGTTTGAATTCCTTAAAAGAAACATATTTTGTAGGTTTAATGTCCCAAAAGCTATTTAAGTAACGAAAGTAAATATTTTTATAATAAACCATTTGACACTTTGTTAGTTAAATATGGATGTAGACATAAAATATCACTTTCTTATCATTCTCAAGCCAATGCGCAAATTGAGTTGGCGAATCGAAAGATTAACCTTATTTTGGAAAAAAAACTATGAATAAATCAAGAAAACATTGATCAAAAAAGTTAGATGATACTTTGTGGGCGTATAGGATAACATTTAAAACACCATTGGCAATGTCACTATATAGACTTGTTTATAAAAAAATATGTTATTTACATGTAAAAATAGAGTATAAAACTTATTAGACCATTAAGGCTATTAATCTCAATTTTAAACTTGCAGGTGAAAAGAGATTACTCAAATTTAGTGGATTGGAGGAGTTGCGCTTAGCTTTGTATGAAAATGTCAAGATTTACAAGGAAAAAGTGAATTTTTTACATGACAAACATATCCTTCCAAGCACTTTGAGGATGGTCAAAAGGTGTTATTGTATAATTTACGGCTTAAATTATTCTTGAACAAGCTCAAATCTAGATATTATGGTCTATTTGGAGTAGTTCGAGTCTTTCCTTGTAGAATGGTGAAAATTAAAGGTGAAAATGGCACCATATTCAAAGTGAATGATCAAAAGTTGAAATTTTATTTGGTCGAAGAAAGGGTTCCTAAAGGAGTAGTCTACTTTTTAGGAGACTCGTTTAATCAACCAAAATGAATGGTGAAAGTCGAGTTCAACAACTATAAACAAAGCGCTTGTTGGGAGGTAACCCTACGATTCCTTTAGTTTTTGTTTGCTTTTAGTGTACTTTTTGTTGTTTGGTTTGATTTTTTATTTAGTGTATTTATTGGTTTGTAGGAGACGCAACGTTAAATAAACAATTGTTCATAAGAAGTGGAGACCAATATGAAAAAGGGAACCTTAACCTTGATTCTTGAGTTTACAATGCTTAATTTCTTGATATAAGGTTAAGGTAGTCATTTGCATAAAAATAAAGTGAATTTAAGTATTTAAGTGTGTTCATGACTTATTTGCACTTTTTTAAACCATTTGAACACTATCACGTGCATTGGAAGTGTCGAGTGGAATTTTTTATCCAAAAACCCCAACCCTCAATTTGCATTCTATGTTTGCATTCTTTCGGACCATTTGAATACTATCACGTGTGTCGAGCCCCATTTTTAAATGAAAAATAAATATGTTTAGGAAAATGGATTTTTGATTAATTTTTTATTGAAAAATGAAATTTTGATTTATTTTGAGTAAAAAGGAGTTTTTGATTTTTTTAGGAAATAAATAAAGAGAATGGGCCTAAATGGGACTTAAAGTGCAACGATTTTGACCCAATAATAATAGTTTAAAAAGGATTTTTAATAAAAATAGGAGTCGTCACTTGGTATTGAGTTAAGGTGTACCAAATCACCTAAAATGAATTTTTAAAGAAAAAAGTAAAAAAAAAATCCTTTTTAAACGACTCCAAGTTTTCGAAAATCAAGAGAAAGGGGTTAGGAGTCACATTTGAAGAAAGGGAAGGCAAGGATAAAATCCAAGGCACCCTTTCAATCAAGTCAAGGCTAGTTGCATGATTTAGTCAAAAATTTTCTTATTTTTTAACTTAAGAATTTATCATATTTGGATGTCAGTATATGGATACAAACCTAGACCTAGTGGTTATTGGAAGGGTCAAATGTCTCTTCAAAACTCAATTAGCGCTAATCGCATTAATTGTGATATCCAAAAAGTGACTCTTTCAAGAGGTCACGAAATATGCAAAAGATGAGATTCGAAAAAAAGAAAGAAAGGAAAATAATAATATACAAATGACCTAAGGGAATACATCATAATGGGTGCGGGAAACTCCTATTTGTGACTTTAATTTTTCATTTAATAGAGGGAATACGAGTGTGCTAAGGCTAGAAAGTTACGTTTGTCCATATCCCATATTCGAGGGGTAATTTCCCTAATCTAATCAAGCAAAATATGCTAACTTAGTTCTAATTCTTAAATGGAATGCAAGTCTAATGTCATGTTTTCACACATAGAGGCAAGGGATATACATACAGGGGAAATATGGGATAAGGGATATACATATAAAAGAAATGTCATGCCAAATGATAAACCCTAAAAAGTAGAAAATATGCATGCAAATGTAGTGATTGTCGTACAACCATGATCTAGTACGTAGATGGTCCCTAAGGGTCTAGCATTGGACTAACTCATGTTTATAAGTTTTCACTAGTATTGGACTAACGAGAAAACGGGAACAAGGGTCACAACTAGCGTTGGACTAGTGTGGTACCAAAAAAAAGGGTCACAACTAGCGTTGGACTAGTGTGGTGACGTCATGCACTTATTATAATCAAATAAATCATGTAAAACATGATAAAAGCAAATAAACACATAAATCACATATAGCACATAACATATAAGCATGATATCTAGATGCAAGACGCTAAGAAAGCGAATAATACGTAAACACATAAGCATGCAAAACACACAAGGCAAATAAAGCAAATAAAGTCCTAACTATTACATTTGGGGGCCCTAACTACAATCTAAAGGGGTAAAGTAAAATAAAATAATAACCTAACTATTATAATTTTGGTGTTTAATTGCCTTCCAAATAATTAAAAATTAAATTAAAATAAATATACAAATCAAAACAATTAAAGTGACTAAATAAATAAATTAAATAAAAACATTCAAAAGACATGCAATTACACACATAAAAGCCACATAGGGGTGCATAGAATCAAGTAAAATCAAAATAAAGAGTAGGGTATACCTCCCTTGAATTTGTGACCTAATCAAATGGAGTTTCCCTTATTTACCCTCCAAAACAATAAAATGGTCAAGGCATCACTTTAATTAACGAATAATCACAAGAAATGGAAATAAACATGAAATTGAATCAATCAAATCATTCAAATAAACATAAACAACCCATATTTAATAAATTAAAACAAACAAGGACCCAATTGAAACAATTAAAGAAGTTTGAGGGGTCAAATTATTATTATTACAAATATTAAGGGTCTAAATTAAAATAAATTAAAATTAATGGCTTAAGATGAAACCTACCAAAACAAAACTAGAATTCACAAAAAATGAATGAAAAACCATTGTAGACACCAAAATTTCATTTAGCTTGATTTTAGCTTTATCTAATTCAATTTTATTTTATTATTAATTAAATGATAGTTAGTGTTCATTTTGATTATTTTTATAAATTAGG